TGCTGATATACCCGAGAGCTTGCCTGCTAGGTCACTGTAATATATTCTGAATCTGCAAGGCAAGTTCGAGTCTCTTCCGGGGTATTCCAAGTTGACTAGATTGAATGAACTGTGCTGCACAACTGAAACTCAATTTAAAGCTTTGAAGAAATCATTGAGACGTGTTAGCATGTCCACACTGAGGAATTTACTGGCGTTTGTACGGAGACAAGACTGTGAGGAGTCTGTGCAACTTCCTCATAACCAACCCTGATTATGAATTCGATGCGATATTCCAGGGCGTTTCGGATTTCGTCATGAATGATTAGTTACATAGGTGGATGTTTAAACTTTAGTTTGAGTAAGTCATTTGATTTCTTGGGCAAGTATAATGACTTACTCAAACTAAAGTTTAAACACACAACAATTCCCCTGGGAAAGCAGCAATTTAATAAACGCACATCGATCTACAATCATTCCGCGTTATATCCAATAGTGGCCATGCTTCACATCCGTAAATGATCTACGTTGTGGCTCGGGCCTCGGCAAAAGAACTTTGCTGCACGATTTGATTTAACTGTGTTCACGGTGTTTGTTGTAACTTTAGAAAAGCTTCCAATTAAGTGCTCTACTATCTATTGATGGTCAATAAGATTGATGTGATTTCGGTTCCAGAATTCGCTTTCAAATCACTTATCGATCTACGGTATTAAAGCAACAGTTGTAAGATTCGTGACTCCCCATGCGCTCATTTCGTTTGGGATATTTTTTTAGTTATTGTCCTAAGATCATTATGTTTATTCTGATCATCACCTGCTCCTTATTTTATTTGCATTTAGCCTTACATTTGTGAAACGAAACTCACATTTAACTTAGAAATCAACGACGAGAAATGTACAGTTGAACGGAGTTTCTCAAGTAATAGAGCCACGCAATGGGATAAAATATGGAATAGATTTTTGGTTACCGATATTCTTAGGAAATTCCACTGCGACTCGGACGTTGCTAACCAAATTTGAGATATAAGGTGCTGGGAAATCACAATAGATTTTGATGCGGGAGCGAATAAGTCTGCGTTGGGGAAGTGTTGATATATATGGGTGACATGTAAATAAATCATGATGTAAGGGAAGTGTGTTATCCGTGAGAACTCTATTTTCAAACTCTTCATCGACTTCGATTTGATGATCACAAAGTGTTTGGATGGGGATGGCGATAAGATTAGATAGACACAACATGTGAAAGTCAAATTTTGGTATGGTATCTCGAAGTCATGTTGGATGCATTTACAGTTCAGAAGCTGGATTCACATAGAAATATCAACTCCAGGTGCTGTCTTGTGTGCATAGCTCCGGATTTCAATCTTATTCCTTTTCAATTCAGCAAGAGCTCATTTCTTTATAGCGCAATAATCCTGCGACAATTAGGTGGTTTTCATGAAAAAATATCTCAGTATTAGTATACATTGCGTTTTGCGGTACAACATCCATTTTGAAATAGCCCGTTCTATTCCGCAGATATCACATATCCAATGATTACGTGTACAAAGTTATAGGCTCCATATGTTCGTTCTTTGACTTATTTGAGTCAATAATCAAACGAAGGAATTTATTCGTCTCTTCGTAACAGGCCTGCATGTAGTTGATCCGTAGGCCTGTGAGCGAGCAGGAGCGCATGCTCGCCTCTAACTATCTGAATCGATCACAGCAATATTGATTAAGATTTTCTGCAATTTTGTGTAAATATGCTTTGTTTTGATGCCATACATTCGTTTTCAGTTCTCCAGAAGCAGCAAGGACACGCTCGATACAATCCAACTGCCGAATGCCGTACATGTGACAACAATAACAACAAAAGATTGTGACCAATCTACTAGCCCTTTAATCTGCTCGCTTTGCTTTATGTGTCTGTTTGTCCTCGTAACAGATCATGTGACCGACCTGGACCTTATCTCAGGTCCTGCTTCGCCTGAAGATGCGGCCTCGTCCCGAAATTCGTTTTCTGATATGTCTAACACGAATGGAAACACCGCTTCCAGTAGTGGAGACACCGGGCCAGCGGGGTCGTTTGCTGTGTTCCCATGTGGCTTGCAACCTGGCTCAGATTCACAAGAGTGGCCTGTTGGTGTATGGCGTCATTTGGCTGTGGTTTTCAGTCGAGCTGGGATGATCAAGTCTAGTTCGTGCAGTGTCTATTTAGACGGCCGTCTAGTTGGTGTTCAACGCGTAAGTTTTTTCGGATGCCCAGTGCAAGCGAGCATGATCTATCAGTGGTTAGTTTTCTGCTAATCATTTTTCCGCATAATTATTAGTAATTGCATTCTAGCTATTTACATAGCTATGTGGTTTGAGACTGGCAGTTCGTAACGTGGCTTTGACGATTGCTGTTGTGGTTATCCTGCACAAATATTGATTGGTATCCCAACTTATCCGCTAAGTGAACTGAAAGCCACACTTCTTAAGTGGGAACATTTAATTATTCAGGGAGGTGTACTGCAGTTGAGAACTTTCTCATGGCAGAGACAAATGAGCGCTAAACCATGTGATGTTTATGCGACATCAACTTCAGGACCGGTCTAGGTAGTTCCATGTAAGTCTGCAGCTTTACATGTTCCAAGGGGAGCTGACATCCTGTGGATAATCGCGGTTGCGGACTCCTAGCAACAGTGTCTAACCATTTGATCTGATTCTTCTCATCCGCATATTATGTACTTTACCGTTTAAAATACTATTCCGTCCATGATCACGTTGTCCAAATAGAAAAATATAACTTAGCGCTATTCTAATTTGAAGTTAGTAAAAAAAACCTAGCTATCGCATAGTCCCGTAAAAAAGTGGATTTTGTGACAGGTTGCCTCAGGCCCAGGAGTAGAGGGGCAATATCGTTTGCTACTACAGTTAATTTAGGTAGCATTCGAATCGTAGCGGGGCCTTTGAATTCGGCCGCGTCATTTATCTCGAAAAATTATAT